AATTATTTTTTCTTTTATTTAGAAAATTTCGTATATCTATACAAGGTGTTTCAGAATATGCCTTTTTTTAATATGTATTGTGAATTGTGAAGTTTTTACTTAGGTTTCAGGTAAACGTTTTGTTTTATTTCATTTTTACCTATTTATTTTATATTGTTTTGTTTGTATTAATATATTTTTTATTAATGACCAAAATCAATACAATTATTTCCTTTCTTAATTATTTGAAATAAATATTTTTTATTTAGCATGATACTCTAATTGTTACATTTGTAAACTACCACGTCTTGTTTCTTTTATCTCAGAATTATATTCTCATTTGGACTGAAAATTACTAATCACACCCCGTATTAGTGTATAATGTATATAAGACATGGACTTCTTGTCTTAAAATTGAGTAAGCAAGATCACTTTAAAGTTTGGCTACATACTTAACGACCACCTTAACGATCACAACTTAATTTTCGAGTTTTTGATAAAAGTTACATAAAGATTCGTTTGTTTTATAGAATTCTATACCCTAATAAACCCTATGTATAAAAAAAACAAACCTACTATTATGGAAACGGGATTAAAAATGTAATACCAAAATCCCGTTATTATAAATTAATGTAAAAAGCTCGAAATTCGTCACGCTGACAAGTTAATGGGAAACAGTCAAAACCGTCCAGTCCGAGTATTAACACCTTCGATTAGAAATACCCATTACGAAAAATATATACGTCACCATCAAAAGATACATGGTGAGCTAATATTTGTTTTTTTTTGTAAATATTCAGTTTTATAAATTCTTACAATGAGGAAACTCATATTTTTTAGGCACATTTCTTTAAGTACTTCGGTGGATTTTTCTCCTGAAAATTATTATTATTTATTGTCGAATGGATAATTTTTATATATTTTTTAACAATAACATGCACGTAATGGTCTATTTATATAAATTTAGTCAATTGAAAAACATAAAACTTTTTGATTTAATAATAATAATAATACATTTATTGTCCAACTTTAAAGTTTACACAAAGAGAGCAGTTACATAATTTGTAAAATATTTACAATATTTAGTACACCTAAGAGGACAAATGGCTACAACCGGTTCAGTTGTGAATCGCTTCACTCCTGATCTTCCACCAGTGCCAGAGTGATAAAAATAATTTACATTAAGATGACCGACAGAACAGGAGAAAGAAAAAGGAAGAAAAGAAAAGAGGAAAAAGGAAGGAGGAAGGAACATTTTGGAAGCGAGAATTTATTATTGTTGGTGTAACAGAATAGTCTTGTATTGTTTTTTAAAAGTGTTTGCTTTAAGTCGTAATAATAACTGATTATTTCTGTATAAATCATTGATGCAGATTGTTGCGTTATAGGTAAATGACTTTTTGAAACCAGCTTTATAAAATCTTGGTAACCTAAGGATACTTTTGAGTCGAATATTAAGATTATGTATATCTGTTCTGTAAGTTAGTTTATCGTGCAGATATGCAGGCATATTTGTATTGAAAAGCTTATGACATACACAGGCAAGAGTAGAAGTCTTCTATTATACATATTTAACCAATTTGATTGCTTAAAACTAGTTGAAATATGATCATATTTCCGAATTCCATATATTAATCTTATACAACAGTTTTGTAATTTTTGAATTCTTCTAGACTCAAAACTATTTAAACAAGGGCCGTACACAATATCGCAGTGGTTGAAATTTGATAATACCAATGAATCGCACAACAGCTTTTTCACCTCTTGAGACAAAAAATATCTTTGTCCACATATTAGTTTCAAACTTGCGTAAGATGTCTTTAATTTAACAGTAATGTGTTTTTGAAATTTTAACTTAGAATCTAAAATGAGACCCAAATTTTTACATTCGCTAACGATAGGAATATTCATATTATTTATTTTGATTGATGCTGCAGATGTAACTTCTTGTCTAATTAATTCATTACAGAATATCACAGCTTTTGATTTACTTGGATTTATTTTTAATGAATGCCTTTCAGATATATTAAATATATTAGTCAAATCTGAATTAATTCTTAAGATGGAATCATTTAGTGTAGAATGTTTAAAAGAGTAATATAATTGTGTATCGTCCGCGTATAAATGACTATTACAGTATTTCAATACAGTAGGAAATTGTGAGGTATATAGACTAAAACACAATGGGCCTTATATACTTCCCTGAGGTACTCCAGAAGTGACCTTCATCGAAGAAGAAAAAATATTATTTATTTGCACTATTTGGTTTCTTTGATGAAAGTATGATTTTAAAAGTGAGACAGAGTGATTATTAAATTTAAAATACTTTAGCATGGCTAGAAATATTTCATGGTTTATAGTGTCAAAAGCTTTTGAAAAATCTAACAGTATTAAAAAAGTAATGTTATCATTATCAATAGCCCTAAGAATATCATCTCTTACATCAGATAAGGCTGTTGCACAGCTGTATCCTGCCCTAAAGCCTGACTGTTTATTGTTTTTTAAAAAAATACTTATTTGCATTTCCATTACTCTCTCTAAAATTTTTGAACAAACAGGTAGAATACTAATTGATCGCAATTCACTAAAATCTTTAGGCACACTTACTTTTGGTAACGGCATAACTTTAGCAAATTTCCAGGCAGAAGGAAAAATACTTTTTGCTAAACATTCATTAATGATGTATGTTATAAATGGAGTAATAAATGGACAGCAGAGTTGTAAAATTGTACTATTAATATCATCCACACCGTAAGCTTTAGATTTAATATTAAATATAATATTATTTATAGCATCCTCGGTAACTTCCTGAAATAGAAAGTGTTCCGTGATATTCTCCTTAGTATTAGTTGAATAAAAATGTATTAAGTCATCATCCATAGCCACATTATTACATCTAGAAGTAAAAAAACTATTTATGGCATTGGCATCTTTCAAATTGTTGGGAATACCTGTTTTTTTATTTTTAGATATGTTAAATTTTTTTAGTTCAGACCATTTTTCTTTTATATTACAATTTTGGAATTTAAAATTTAAGTATGCTCTTTTTTCAGCCTTTATAGCATTATTTGTGAAATTTCTTAATTGTTTATAATATGACCAATGTTGTGGTAATTGAGTTCTGCGAAATTTTTGCAAAGCTTTATCTCGGAGTTTTTGCATAAGAATAATATTCTCAGTAATCCACGGAGTATATTTAATTCGTTTTCTGATAATTGTTTTCTTAGGAGCATGCAATTCTAAAACTGTGTTCAATAAATTTACCATTTCGTCAATATCATTTACAGTATAAATGTTATGCCAAGGCATGGAACTAAGATCTCTTTGAAAATTTTCATAATTGATTTTTGTCAGACATCGATATGTAATTTTTATTTGTTCCTGAGGTTTGATATAAAAATTGTTAAATTTACAGTTAATTGCTGAATGGTCAGCAACTAGATTGTGATCAACAGAATCATTGCAGAAGTTGGAATCTATATTTGTGATGATTAAGTCTAGCAAGGAACTATCTCTTGTAGGCTCCTTGATTATTTGTGTTAAGTTAAATGCCTTTAGCGAGATACATTTTGCCCCTAAATGTCGGCAACACATTAAACAATGTTTTAAAAAATAAGTGGCGTTTTTTTAGCATGCTATAGAAATAAACGTCTTGTCATTTTCTCAACTTTGCCTACGAATATGTCTGTTAGTAGTGAAAGTGGTGAAATTATGAGCACTCCACCAGAGATTTTAGAAAAAGTTAAAGCTGCCACACATAAGTTGTTTCCGCTAAACTCCAAAGAAAGGTACGAAAGTACCTATCGAAAATTTATGGATTGGCGACACAAGCATATGTCCTTTATTTAATAGAAGAAAATAAGTGGGAGCAGAAAAAGTATAGTATGTTACACGAGTTGTAAGCCACTTACGCTTCGTGTGTAATGGGTTATTTACAACTCTTGTTACGTAATATACTATTAACTATTACCTTAAGAACTTAAGAAAGAACATGATCGAAAAAATATTGCCAATATTAAATTTTAAAAACACACACCAACATGTTCCAGGGAACAAACAAAAAATTATTGACATTACGTTTTAAAATTTTTGGTCATCATATTATTTGAAAGCATAAAATATAAGACGTTATTCTAATATTTTGAAAAAAAAATGGGATAAAATATCCGGTTGTACGATTTAAAATTTTTAACTCTTTTTTATTTAAAAATCATAGTGATATAAAAGTACAGCTTATATCCAAAAGGTACCATCCTGTATAGAGTACACCAGTTGTGACTGGTACAGAAAAGCATAATGTTACATAACATGAAAATATATTTAACCATTTTTCATCATTAAGCGTGAAGATTAAAACGTTTGAAAGACTGAAATTAAAAATCTAAAAACAAACCAGCGTCGTCCTCGTAATTATATCAAACGGGATGAATATTATAATATGTACTATGATTTTGAAAAATACAGGAAAAATATTTTAAAAAATTTTAGCGGAGCACCTGATCAAAAAATTTGAAAATCTGATTGGACAATTTGAACTAAAGATTTCTTTAAGGTATGTTACCTAAGCCAATGTAGAGCTAACATAACTATTAATTTGTTGAGTTTTTGAATACGTAAGATTTTATATTCAACTAATAAATTTGCATTCATTTATGTATTTAATGTATTTAATGTATTATTATTACACCAACTACAGATACACATAACTGATTTTAGAGTTTCATACAATCATTCATGCTATTTATTGTGGAGAACAGCTTTAAGTCATCACTAAATATAGTCCTTTATCCTATTTCTCTTAGGTAACATGCTCAACTTTCTTTAGAGATTCACCGTTTGATTTAAACCGATACATCAGCCATGGAATAAAAGTATTTTTTACAATTTGCCCTAACCTAAACAATGCCAACAAAATCTCGCATTGAAACATTTGAAGTATATTCAAAGACGCCTTTGTTTCTGACGGCTTAATGTTTTGATTTCATATTATTATTACTAAATACAAGAAATTGGCGACGTAGGAGAAGCTAAAAATAAGCAATATCAACGGCCAGATACAACATAAATTAAAAGAATTCAGGACTGTAGACGATATTTCGGAAGAAGAATTTCAAATAAGATTAGACCCAAGTGAACCGGTTATTTCTGCAATTCCTTTCAATACAGGAAAATATAAAGGTATTTTTAGGACTTGCAAATTATTATAATAAATTTGTGCCAGATAATCTGTTAAAGAAAACAGCAAAATATGACTGGTCAGATGAATGTGAAAGAAGTTTCAACAGAATGAAAGCAGAAATAGCCAGCGATAATACATTAGCACATATTGTCCACAGTTAGGGTCCGATTACAATTAGAAGAACACAGCTACGTCATAACCATTACTTCGAATTTCGAATGCATATTATCTATAACTTTAAAAAAAACAAAAATTAAGTAAGTTGTTAGGTTAAAAGAATATTTCCTATATTCCTACAATATTAACATTCCACTAAACCCCCATTAGGCGGCGATAAACAATTTATTACTTTACCAAATGATGACGTAGCTGTGTTCTTCTAATTTCAATCGGACCCTACCACTAATTATTGCAAGTGATGCGTCACCGGTTGGACTAGGAGCTGTACTTTCATATAAATTTCCGGAGGATACCGAGAAAGCAATATGTTCTGCTTCAAGAATATTAACAAAGGGTGAACAGAAATACATCCAAATAGACAAAGAGGCAACTGGTATATATTGGGCACTAAAAAAGTTCTATCCATACTGTTACGGTAGAAAATTCACACTAGTAACTGACCATAAACCATTAGTATCACTTTTTAATCCGAATAAGAAATTACCTACAAATCAGCAGCAAGACTATTTCATTATGCGCACTTTTTATCTGGTTTTGATTACCCATTAGCCATTCAACAGAAACAGAGCATGCCAATGCAGATTTTTGTCTACATTTCCAGTTCAAGAAAGTATCATCAATTTGAAAGATCAGTACGAAATTTTTCAGCTAAACCAGATTGAAACTCTACCAATTACAATTAAGGATATAGCAAGAGAAACTACTAAGGATGATCATTTAAAATATTTACTACCTAAACTACAAAATGGGGAAAGTTTAAAAGAACTAGGCCATGAAGACAATCAATTGACGCTGCAAGATGTGTGTATTTTTCGTGACGCTAAGGTCATGATACCCAAAACATTGCGATGCGAAGTATTAAAGGAGCTTCATATTGGACATATTGGAATGACTCAGATGAAAGCACTCGCCAGAAGCTATTGCTATTGGCGAAATGTGGACAATGACAGAAAATCTGGTAAGTTCATGTAAGCAATGTTGTGAAAAAAGAACTAAACCACCTAAAACTAAACTTCATTCACGGCAGTTGCCTCAGGAATCATGACAACGTATCCACATAAACTTCGCAGGACCTATTCAAGGAACATCATTCTTTATTGTAGTGGATGCATATACAAGATGGATTCAAGTAATTTAGGATGGTTATTTGCAACATTTGGTTTACCCATTACAGTGGTATCTGACAATGGACCACAATTTACTTCGAATATGTTTGAATTTTCTTTAAAGACAAATGGAATACAGTATAAAATCTCGGCCCCTTACCACCCAGGGACAAATGGACAAGCGAAAAGATTTGTTCACACGGGCCCTCAGAATTTGAAAAATTGGACATAGAAGTGAAGATATTCAGAATTTTAATGCAACTTCGAAAAGTACATATTGAGTCAGGGGAAGGTGCCTATAACTTGATATTTGGTAGATATATTCGAACGATATATTCGAACGATATTAGATCTATTAACTAATATAAAAGATCAGTACAGTCTAAAAGACAAAAAACAAAAAATAGGAACAAACATTTAAGGAGGGGACTCCGGAGGAAAATCTAAATGGCTGTTTCGAGATGTACTAGAGAAACTAGGAGAACTTCATTACGAAGTCTTATTAGATAATGGTAGTGTAATGAGCATTACATGTACACACTGTAAACGAGTTGTGCAGTATATACTCTTGCATCGCTTAGGAGATTGTTTATTTGTTAATGTTATAATCTGATTAACATGTCATTTTTAACCGACTTCAAAAAAGGAGGAGATTATCAATTCGTCGCAATATTTTTGTTTTTTTATTTTTTTTTTATGTATGTTCAGCGATAATTCTTTAACACGGTCTCCGATTTTAATGATTCTTTTTTTGTTAGAAAGGAGGTACTTCAGCGGTGGTCCCATATAAATTTGGTCAAAATCCAATAATTAAATCCATGAGAAAATCCTCAAGTTCTTCATTTTTTACGTATGTTTAGCGATAATGCTTTACCACCTTGTCCGATTAATATGATTCTTTTTTTGTTAGTAAGGGGGTACCTCAGGGGTGGTTTCTTATAAATTTAGTTAAGATGTGGTGATGGCATCTGCACGTTTTTGAAGTCGGTTTTTTAAAATTTTTAATTTCTAATACTTGTTAACCGATTTCAAAAAAGGGGAAGGTTCTCAATTCGTCGCGATATTTTTTTTTTATGTATGTTCAGCGATAATTCTTTAACACGGTGTCCGATTTCAATGATTCTTTTTTTGTTAGAAAGGGGGTACTTCAGGGGTGGTCCCATATATATTTGGTCAATATCTAATAATTGGGTCCATGAGAAAATCCTCAAACTCTTCATTTTTTATGTATGTTTAGCGATAATGCTTTACCACCTTGTCCGATTTATATGATTCTTTTTTTGTTAGTAAGGGGGTACCTCAGGGGTGGTTTATTATAAATTTAGTTAAGATGTGGTGATGGCATCTGCACGTTTTTAAAGTCGGTTTTTTTAAATTTTTAATTTCTAATACTTGTTAACCGATTTCAAAAAAGGGGAAGGTTCTCAATTCGTCGCGATATTTTTTTTTATGTATGTTCAGAGATAATTCTTTAACACGGTGTCCGATTTCAATGATTCTTTTTTTGTTAGAAAGGGGGTACTTCAGGGGTGGTCCCATATATATTTGGTCAAAATCTAATAATTGGGTCCATGAGACAATCCTCAAACTCTTCATTTTTATGTATGTTTAGCGATAATGCTTTACCACCTTGTCCGATTTATATAATTCTTTTTTTGTTAGTAAGGAGGTACCTCAGGGGTGGTCCCATATAAAGTTTTGGTCGTTTTCTATTCTTTTATTACAAGTAGACACTGTCGCCGACATTTAGATAAAATGATAGGCACCAAAGTAATATATTATCTAAGACCAAAGTAGAAAATTGAGAGGGAGGACTGACGGAGAGTACAAAATAGGCTTAATGTTTTGTTGAATGTGATGTTTAATTAATAGTAGATTGATATTCTTGTCAAAATATATTTATTCAAAGAATAAGATGTCAAATTATTTTTCCTAAATATAGGAAAGTTTCGTTTAGAAAAAGAGTCGTAAAGCAAATTTAAATTCAAAAGCAAGCTGGAAATCTGTTAGGGCACGAAACAAAATGTTGACGACACATAGATATTAGAAGCTGATACAAATCTTAATTATCAAGCTATTACCAATGAAGCTACCGATATTGCTTAAGATGAGGCTACATCAAAAGAATCTATTGGTCCGGACGATTTTACGGACAGTGGAATTTTAAAGAAATTTATTTTTTATTAGGAGGAGCGTATTTTAAATAGCACATTTAAAAAGAAAAATTTGCGGTAAATGCATTATTTAAGCCAAAAAAAAAATTATTTCATTCCTATAAAAATCAGCATTTTGGCGACTGTAAACATCGAAACTTGACGGTTTCTGTCAAATTTGAAAAATATAATTGCAACTTTGCCGGATTGTGATAAAATTAGTAGTTAACAGAAAATTGAAAATTGCGAATGAAAAAACATCGACCCATACCAGGCTACGCCGATCGGCATAGACTCCAACGGCCTGAACACAGCTCAAATTGAATTTAAAACGTAAACTTTTTCACATAATTTCTTGCGATTGCGCATACCGGTCCACAAATGTGCAACAAGAAAACGAAGCAACGACTTCTCGTAACAAATGTCATTAATATTTGCAGCGTTTATTTTGAATAACACGCTCTTTGATTTTTAAACAAGAAATAACTGGCAAACCTCCTTTCAGAAGAAAAGCATATAAAGCAATTGGCAACGTAGCAAAAATCACGCACAGGCACTCCTTAGTGTAACTGTCAAATCGAAAAAGTTAAAAACAATATGGTTGCGTGAGCGAATGTTGTAAATAAATGCATATTCTTAATTTTTTAGCTTACAAATGTGTTTTAATAATATTTGTTGCTTTAATTAGGTTAGTGCACGCTTATGAAAGATAAAAAGTGTAAAAATATTATGGTTTTACTTAATCTATATGGAAAAAATGACAGAATTACTGTCCCTAATAACATCCTTAACCGAACCTATTCCAGGGACGTCCACTGAACCTACCCCAAGGAAATCCAAATAGGAGAAATTTGCTACGATAATAAATTCAGATCCGTGTTCCTGACCAACCAGCTTATGAGAAACCCAAATAAATTTTTGGCAAAAGAAGGAGCACCTCAAACATTAAAGGAAAACAGTTTTCCATAATACGATACCCGTCGAAAATTTAGGGCAGTTAATTATTTGAGAAACATGAAAAATGGTATCTAATCTATTCAATTACGAAAAACTGCCTCTATTAGTTTTGCTGCAAACTTTTTGGTTCTATTTTAAGTTCTCTTTCTACTGAAGGTTTTAACCTCGCTGAGACCATCAAACAACATGAAACCTCTAAAAAACATATCCAAAGTCAAAAATCTTGGATTAAATTTAGTCAAAGAATACAGTAATCACAAAGACTTATTACCGCAGAGATTATTGGTACGAGGTGCTTTTATGAGTTGTTTCAACAATTAAAATGCTTGCTCAAAATTATTTAGCCCTCCGAGATACAAGTGACAAACTTTACTGCTATTTTTACAAATTAATCAGTTACTTGCTCAGTTTGATCCAGTAGTGAAAGAGCATATTCACAGAGTACGCAATAAATAAGATGTTAAAGTCCACTATGTCGAAAAAGATGTTTAAAATAAAATAATTATTCTTTTAAGTGAAAATATAACACCTCGCATTATTAGCGAGATTAAAACTGCTAAATAAAATACAATAATAATAGATTGTACGAGGATGTATCAGAAAATAACGAGACTGGTGCTATAGTATAACAATGAAACATTTATTTAAAAAAATTCAACAACTATCCTTCGAAGTACTCTCCATTCTGTTGAATACACTTATCCCATCGCTATATCCACTTATCATAAACTTCTGAGAAACCATTTTTTGATAGTCTGTTTAGTATACCCATCACAGCGTTGTTGAGCTCTAAATCCGACTCAAATCTTCTACCTCTCAATTCTTTTTTGACTTCAGGAAACAAATGGAAGTCACATGAAGCAAGATCAGGAGAGTAGGGGGGATGAACCATAATTTCAACCCCTAATTCTTCAATTTTTCGTTGACAAATCATTGATCTATGAGCCGGAGCATTGTCGTGATGCAGCGTCCAGCCAAAGTCCTGATAAAGCGGCCTTTTTTTCTTTAATTTTGCCTTTAAGGGTCCTCGAAGTACATTAGAATAGTACTCCCCTGTTACTGTATGTCCTCTAGGTACAATATGATCGTAAATAACGCCAAATTTATCAAAAAAAATCAGGTGCATCACTTTACCAGCGCTTTTAGCAGTTTTGGCCTTCTGCGGTCTTGGGCTGCCTTTATGCTTCCATTGCATACTTTGAGACTTCAATTCAGGATCGTAATGATAAAACCAACTTTCGTCACATGTAACCACATTATTTAAAAACTGTGGGTTACGTTGCAATTGCCTTTTCCACTGCTGACAAATTGTCACTCGATTCGCTTTTTGTTCATCGGTCATCACTTTTGGAATCCATCTTGCCGCGATCTTCCGGAACTCTAAATCTTCATGAATAATTTTTTGAGTGGTACCGTAAGACAAATTAACATTGTCAGAAATTCATTTTATGCCAATCCGGCGATCATTTTGTATCATGTCGTTAATTTCTGCAATTTTTGTGTCATTTCTCGCAGTTTGTGGTCGACCGGGACGAGGTTCATCTTCAACTGATTCACAACCGTCTTTAAACTTTTTATGCCACTCAAACACTCTACATCGTGATAAACTATTATCTAGATGTGCACCTTTAATCATTTTAAAAGTTTCAGTTGGTGTTTTACCCAATCGAACACAAAATTTTATCGCGTATCTTTGCTCCACTTTCATTTTTCGATGGGTACGCAAAACACTGACAATTCAATAATTAATTTGTAACAAATGTCAAAAGTTAAATCAAAGCCTACTTGCGGGGTAGTACATTAAATATAAGGCTTTCATGTCTCATTTTTTGGGTTATAAAATGTTACCTCTGAAAGAAGTTATAGCACCAGTCTCGTTATATACTGATATATCCTCGTACTCCTAATGTTAGCAAGATCTTAGTGAGATATGTATCCATTGACAAATCCAATCCCAATAAGGTTTTCATTATAATTAATGAAAGCTTCTAAGGCTTTCTTCTGGTTCAAAGATTAACAGGTTCTGAACTCTCAACTCTAATACTTAAAAGACTTGAAACATTGGGATTGAATTCGCAGGATATGAGGGGACAGGCTTACGATAATGAGACCAACAGGAGAGGCGATAAATCTAGAATAAAGCGGTAAATCCTTCGAAGCCGCCAATTTTTAAAAAATAAATCTATTTTATTTCTTCATTAACTTTTCGATGGACCATATTAATAAAATATGTTCAGCGAATAACTTTGAAATTCCTAAGTGATACTGGGAAAGCCGAACACATTTGAGATATCAATTAGGAGTGATATATGATGAATTATTTGCTCTATAAAAGTTTAGGCTTCTGGACTATTAAGTTGTGTTAAAAAATTCTTATGCTCCATTGTAATTTGAATTATAAAAAAATTAAAACTATTTGACCGAAAAAACAAAGAAACTTTTTATTTACATAAAATTCTACTACGGAAAATGTATCCTTATTAAAAAAAGGATATTATGGTTTCGCCATCTAATCACAGAATCACTTTCGTAGAAAGTATTTCACTCATAGTAGAAAAAGAGTTCCTTTTGATCAAATAAAGAACGGAACCAAAAAATAGTAATTTAAAATATCATTCGCAGCATAAAACCGAACAAACCAAGTTGTTTTTATACCAATTTATCAACAGAAACAAGCTGTTTTGTCGAGTAACAACTAAGTATTCCATTCAGCGATTGCATTCCATTTATCAAAAGGAAAATAGCACTGTAACGATTCCCGCTTGCACGAAATCTTAAAAGACAATATTTCAAAAATCCCAGCGAAACCGAGATGATAAATCACGAATTTAGCAATTGCCTTATTTCCCAAAACGCTAATTGAGCCATTACAAAACGGAGAATAGAGAATACAGCGCAATAGCAGCATTAGCCGGAGAAGTCCATCCATTTCATTTGCGCCTGACGTTCATTTATCAGTCGCTGCTATCGAAATAATTTCAGTGTCGACAAATGTGCACAATTATTCAAAAGCGCGGCTGCGTTTGATACTGATGGCGCCCGAATCGGACGAGACGAGGGTCTGACGTTTCGACGGAGTTGTGACTCGAGACGAGATGGAAGGAACAACTCGGATGATGCGGGACTGTATCTCGGATTCGTTTTTGGTGTAATTTTTTTGGCGACAAAAAGGAGTACGGTCGAAAGATTACATTGTAAGAGAGATAATGAGGTAGAAAGAGTGAGAGAATCGATAGATACGAGTAAATAAAGAAAAATTAATACTAATCAATTGAGAGATATTGCAAGTTCACTTAAGGTGAGCCACTAATTATTGTAGATGTTTAACGGCAGCAACTAGTGGCAACTTTATTAGCTTTCGGGTGCGCTCGCTGACATTCGTATCAGTTAGAAATTTTCTAATATTCAATTTTTAATATCATCATCACCTAATCGGCTAAAATGGCAATATCTTTCATATTGTGTACTAATTTAAACAACAATAAAGAACAAATATTGGTTTTTGAAATGAAGTTGGGAATCTGTATAAGGACAAGGAACTCTAAATGTCAAAACTACAGTCTTATTTTAGCTTGAATGTATTTCCCTCTAATTACGTTGTCACTATTATAAGTCTATTTTTATGTATGAGAGAGTAATAGAACAGCATTTCTAATGCAAAACTTAGTACGGTCATTTTAAATATTTTTACAGAATAATCTAAATATTTCCTAAAATTGTAATAAATGTACCTGAGCTATTACAAGTTTTGGGTCTTTTATTGGTCCTTTATAAACATAAGCTGTTCAGAACAATAGAAAAAGGTTTGGACAGGCCAAAAGCCCTGTGTATTAAAGATTACATAGCCGTATCTTAAGATTATTTTTAATAAGTACCAATTTGCCAATTTTGTTTTATTTTAATTCCAAGAATTTCTTACAGTAATCGAATTATAAGTAGATAAATACCTTCTCAACAAATTTCACCGAAAATGCGATTATAGGTTTTCCATTTAGTAAGGAGGTCCAAGTTCTGTATTCTTGACAGTTTACTAAATGTCGTTTAGTTGCAACTTGCAAGGTGCAGTGTGAATTCTAGTGTGATCATGGAAAATTTGGAAGGGCCGCGTAAACGACAAAAAATCGGTCCTTTAACAGTTAATGAAAAAACATTAATATTTAATTGTTTTAAATCATTTACAGACAAACATTTATGTAAAAGTGTTGATGACACAGTGGAATTAGTTAGTAGTACGCTTGGTGTTGGGAAATCTACGATTTACAGAGTTGTTAAAGAAGAGAAATGTGGCGAGTTTCAAACAGCACGTAAAGCTCCAGGAAAACCAAAATTTCAATTAGAAAATCTTTTGAAAGAAAGACTTCGAAGGAAAGTGCAACCCTAAAAAATATATATTTCAATGCTGTCAGTTGACTAAATGCAACATGCACTTTTTAGGTGGTGAAAAATACAACAACTTGGCCTTACTACTGCATACAAGGATAAGGATTCAGAAGTTAGAAAATTTTTGAGAAACTGTTTTGGTTTGCCGTTTCTTAATTCAGCAGATGTTGGAAATTGTTTTGCTATTGATTTGATTGCTCCTCAACCCAGCAATTCCCAACTTACGTTATTCGCAGATTATCTTGTAGATACTTATATAAAAGAATTTCCAGATTATCTGGGGGTTTTAATTATTGAATTTTCCAAAATATAAAACAGCTGTCCAAAGTGAATGACATAATGTCAGAATAAATGTAAATAAACAAAAGAAAATAAACCTGAAACCATTCATCTAATTCAAATCTTTTCTATTTTCTTTTAGACTTCTAGTACCTAACTACAAACTATTCGAGGGAATATTCAAGAATACAGAAAACCGGAACGGATCTACATAGCACTGAAGAACTATCGGACAAAAGGTTAAAGTTCTTTTGCAAACAATTTGGCAATGGAATGATTAAGGTATATTTTTATTCTAGTTATCACATAGAACATGACGATTGGACCTTCAATCATTAAAAGAAACTTCTACTCAAAGCTAGTATACCGAAAATTATTTTAATAGATTTATTAAAAATCATGAATTTGATCTAATTAAAAGGTAAAAGTCAATACTATTTTATTTATTATGGTAAAAGCATCTCAGTAATTCTTTTGAATTTTAAACCGTAACAAGTGGATCGTTTAAAAACTAACATCCCGTATAATATGGATGTGAATCAAAAAAAAATCTCTGGCCTAGGGAGTATTCTACAGAAAAGTATTCTCATTTTTCAAGGGTCTTAACTCTGGTATTTTGCGCCCTCTCTGTGTCCGTACATTCTTTTGTTACCTATTCAAATTTTAATTGAGATTATCAAAGAGAGCTGGGTTATTTTTCTAAAAGGTTTCACGACAGGATACTTTTTCAAAACTTAATAACTGGTTCCAAACAATGTATTTTTTTTAACAATGTGGCATGAATGGAAACATTGTAGATTAGATCAATACACACCTATCAAATTCAGAAAATTTTTGATTTTTTCCAAAGCAGCGTATGTATGCATTCTATTGTTTTATTGTTAAAAGTTTATCACTACTAGAAAATAATGTTCCTGCTTCTTTTCGTGGTAGAGATACCGACGATACCATTAATTTAACAATAAAAAAACATTAAATTCATTAAACGGATAATTTGTTAATCATATGCCTACCATATGGGCGGCGCCGCATATCATCATGTGTGTGTGTGAACGTGAAACCCAAAAATCCATTTAGACATTGCTACAGGTTCACGTTGAACGTTGATGGGTTCGAATTTATGACGATTTTTTAGGTGTTGCGGTTGTAAGCATTTAATAACGAGTTATCTTCAAAGAACCAAAGAAGCGCCATGTGTAATCGTTTTAACACTAACATAAAAACTCCATTAAAACGAGTAAATAAATATTTGGCCGGCGCGGCGGGCGTAGTGACGTTGAAAAATACTCGAAATTTTTGATTAAGTAAATATTAGTGCTGAGATACAAGGTTATTTTTTTGCGAAAATAAAAAGGTTGAGAAACTGTAATGTATATACTGTTCTATTTTTGATAAATTTTATAAACATTATTCGGTGGTTTATAGTTTAAATTTCAAAGAACATAGAAAGTTTTATATTTTGATTGGTATATAAGAGCATCATTAATCAATAGACAGCTGACAGAGTTTCAGTTATATCCTTCAATGGTTTTATTTTGAAAAATGCACGGGTACACACCTGCGCAATTTCGATGGCCAAAATCATGAAATTAAAGTTCAAATTATAACATCCATCTTAGTCACCGGATTTGGTCCCCAGTGGCTTTTTTATTTCTAAATATAAAAACTAGCTCGGTAAAGAACGAATCACGACGAACGAGGTCATCAACCTTCCTAAATCTTACTTTTTAGATGGCTTAAAAATGTTGGAGAAACTCTTGCAAAAGAATACAAAACTAAAAGAAGATCATGTTAAAAATATATTTTCTAAGGACTTGTTGATCGACCTCGTAATTCAAAGCTCCATAAAAGTTCAAGATTTCAAGCTACTTCCGGAACTAGACAAAATCTGAAAAAGCTCATTTTCGTTTTTTAGGGCGTTGTTAAAATAAAAAATATCAAAAAAATATATTCAAAATTATTTGATTCTAAGAAATATTCTGGGTTAGATTTAATTACAGGAAAAGTTTTAAAACATATGCCGAAGAAAGCCATAATAAAACTACCTCGCGTATTTAATACTTCATTCAAACTAACATATGTATGTCCCTAGGTTGTAAAAGTTGTAGTCATTATAATTCCCAAACCAGGAACACTTCCGAACAAAGTTTCGTCATATAGGCCAATCTCTTTATAGCCTATATTATCCAAATTATCTTCAGTCTAAAGATCAGGTTCATAGAATCTCAAATGCGATTTTAAAAATAATACTGCTCAGACATCCTTCCTTGATATTGCACATACTTTTGGTTACGTGATGGGTTAAAACATAAACTCAGAGCAACTGGATTTATTCATTCAGTGGCAGGGCAAGACCTAAATTTTATGTGGACAAGATACATTTTTGCGATGCCCTCTGGTGGCGCAAGAAGACGGATTTTATATAGAGAAATAAAATTGAAACTTGTATTCATAAAAATGCTAACATCTCTTAGACTTTAATTAATATT